AAAGAATAAAATGAAAGACAATACACATTCAATTACTGTCCCTGGGGAAGTAAGATTTCCTTAAATGCCTAGTGTTGCCCCCACAGTAATGGAAACTATTTTATAATAATTAACATAGCTCATGGTTTAATAAAACATTTCTAGTACAATTCTTGTAGTTTGGAATAAATTCTTTTGTTGTTGTTCTTTTAGAGGTATTTGTGCATTTTTTTGTCTTGCTCATCATGCTGTCACAAGGAAACACACCATCTGCAGCATGAAGCCTAGTATCACATAACCGTATGTTGACGGAATCAAGATATTTATGAGCTGTGACTTCCACAGGGAAGGGTTACATCGTAAGATGTTCTGGAGTTATTTAGATGTGTTGCTTCTGTTTAATGTCACTTGTTTGAAAAATGTGTAGCTTAGATCTCAATCCAAACTGTTTTGTTGGATATATTTCGGGGAATAGATAGCAGTGATGTGATTAATAATGTGTTTCAAAGGATGGATACTGCATGAAGTCTGGTGAGATGGAACTCTGAAAATTGTGCCAGTTTTTTATATTACTTGAAAAATTGTAATGCTATGGAAAAAACCCTGCTACTCCTACAATTCTTATGGCAATTTAAATGTGATACATATCACAATAGAAGAAGTAGACCATATGTGTTCCTGGAGGTGGCCATGCCGGTACCATTTCTGATGGGAACTGGACTTAAGGAGAGGGCATGACAAATTATATACTCTCCATGGAGCTTCTTTGATACCAAGATCCTTTTCTTTTCCTTCTATTTCAGTACCAGATAGAAACCTCTCCACTTGTTGGAATGGCAAATGTCAAATGCTGTCTGGTGGCAAAGAACTAAGGAGGGCAGCAGGTCATGGACAAATGCATACTATATATTGTACTTGGGTTTGGAGACTCATATAGAAATGATTCCTATATGGTGGGCAAGCAAGACTGAACCTCTTGTGGATTTAAAACTTTCAGCATGATGACACTGTCTTGGGATCCATGGTTAAACATGTGAGTGCAGACTAAATAGATCAAGTAGGTGTATTTTTGCGCAGGCAGAATCAGCTGTGACATCAAGAACAGAGTAATTTTTATGAATGTTGTGGCCTTTGGAACATGGAGATGTTCAAAAGAATCCTACAGAATGATAAAATACCCTGAAGAATCACACCAGAATCAAGGGCATGAGCAAATCATGCCAGAAGTTCTTAAATAGTGTCAAAGAGAAAACAAGAATATTGATGCCCTAAGAATATAACGCTAGATATTCTAGAAATGAGTACATTTGAATGCTAAATGATTAATAACAAAAAAGAAGGAAATGCCCATGTTTTCAATTGATAAAGCAGGCTAAAACTATCAATTTTTATTGATATGTGTGCTTTGGATTATCTAACAGAAGTCATTGCTAAAAACATTGCATGAACATTCCAGCACTGTAATTAGGTTTAGAGAAAGTAAAGTATACAAGCATCTAGTGGTGTTTGATACATGGAAAGTAATAAAATCTATGCTCTTCTAATTTCTTTCAGGTTGCTGCACAAGTATTGTAATAGTAGGTTAGAGAAAAAATTGTGGGAATAACTTTTTTTTGAGAAGTGTTGCTTGTAGTTTGCCTTTTCAAATGCCTTTATCCTAGCTTGAAACCAAGCTAATAATGTGCTATGAGATCATTTATAAGTATGTACTCATTCTTGTTTCATACTGTATACTACCTCTGTTAAAATTAACTGGCCTTTAAAAAACCTTTTTCTCAATCTTGCTATATCTTTGATATCCAACATAATTAACCTATAAGCTCAGTAAAATGTACAGCTATCATGTAGCATATTCCGTCTTTCATTTGTGACCAGTCCATGCCCCTGACTCAGAACAACATATTTGTGTGCATCAGATACAGTCTATACACTAAGTATATACACTATTCACTAAAAACAGCAAGACATTGAAAGCTATGTTCCTCACAAGGAAAAAAAAAGAGAAACATGTGGACATAGATTGACAACATCTAACTGTGGCTTTGTGTACTCTTCTGAGTTAAGAGAACCCAAAAACCAATTTCCTCCCTTGTGAGACTACTCACAATATTGATTAAGAAAATAACTTCTCCATTCCCTTTCTATATTGTACTTACCATGCTGTTGAATAAGTAGAAAGGACAATGTTTGATGGAGAGATCACTATTCTTTTGGATAAATCAGAACCACTCCTGGCTAAATTACAGACACCAAGGATCAATTTCTTTTCTTTTGCATCATGTCAAGCCCAAAACAATCTGTATTGTTGGCACTCTGGATTCAAGCAGATAGTCTTCTTTCTCAACCTCAGTGTTTATTCTTCAGGATAAAGCGTAGCATCTAGCACTCTCACAATAGATCATGTAGGAGTAGCCAGAAGAAGACATGGGGCAACAGTCTGAAGCAGTTAGAGCTGTAAATACTGAAGGTCTTTTGAATTTCAGCTTTACACCAAAGAAATAGCAGGCCCATATGCATTAAATATTTATAGTAACTAATCCTGAATTTTTATCTCTGTAAGACAGACTTTTTCCAATCAGTCTTTCTAAGAAGAGAATGATTTGGGGTGTGTTCTTGTTCCATTCTTCTAGAGGACTGTGATTTTTGTTGCTGGTGTTTTGTTTTAATCAGGGAATTAGGCAATGTTCAAAGACAACTGGTGAATATTTTTAGAGTTGCTTTAACTTAAAAGTCTTTTGTGGTATGGGGAAGTGTCTCCCAAAAGTCTATGGTTAAAGGCTCAACCAATGAAATGATGGACATTTTAAAAGTGGGGCCTATGGGGATTTTCTTAAGTTACCAAAGACACACAGCCTTGAGGAATGCAGTAGAACCCAGTTCTTTCCACTTCCTCAATGCTATAACCCTGGCCTTGTAGTGAATTGATCTTGTTCTTCATGTATTCATGCCATCACATACTTCCTCACCACAGACCCAAAAGCAATGGGGACAATATCATGGACTAGACCCTCAATAGTATCTCTCTTATTGATTATCTCAGGTATTTGTTGCTGCTGCAGAAAGCTGACTAACAAAATCATTTGTTTAGCTATTAGCTCTGAATTAAAGCCTGAATCATACCTGAATGGATTAGGAGGTTTCTAAGTCTCAGGAGGCTCAGACAGTTCCAAGACTCACGATACCCAAGGTTACAAAAGCATTGAGCAAGTACTGGGAAATAGGAACTCGTCTTTGGTGGAGCTGCCCACATGGAGGACAGAGAGCTCGAGGGAGAGGTGGGAGCTATAGTGAGCTAACTCCCATGTTTGGGTGGACTTGTCAGCAACACAGCTACCTTTGAGTCACCGTTCCCTAAGTAACATCAATTTGCTCTGGTGGATTAGAGTGGATTTTGTTGTTTGTTTGTTTGATTTTGTTGTTGTTTTTGTACTATCATTGGTGCATTTCTGAAGTGAATGAGCATTTGTCTACATCTCCCCTGGAAGAGCCACATAATACTGAGATCAAAGACCCGGGTCTCATGCTGAGGGGGGCTTGAGGGACACTGCCAAATACTGCCTCTCTTCTGAGGCAGTATTGCCTGTCCTTACTCAGCACCAGGCATGGTTTCATAATTTAGATCAGGAGGAAATAACTGGTGCCAACACAAGAAAGAACATGTTAAAAATGGGATTATGACATGATGATTCAGCTGTAATGAGTTGAAGGCTAGTGGTATTGTCTATGAAGGCCATCATCATCATTTATTGAGTATGGGATTAGCTCAATAAGGTTTCAGGAATAACTCCATGAAGCCAAGTTTCAAAGCAGGGCTCCACAAGGCAAAGGGAACTGTGGTACTCCTCCTCTTCCTCCTCTCCTTGTCTTTGAAAACTTCTTATAAATATAAGAAGCACATTTCTCACAAACTCTGAATAAATAAATAAATATATCCTTCCAAACGTTGCATGCTCAACCCTAGAATGCCTGGAGCCTTTACTGCCAAGCTCCCTTTGAGAGATTCTGCTGCTTGCACTGGAAGCTGGCAGGAGACTAGGGGCATCAGTACTCCTTTGAGGAAGATTTTGGCTCTCTTCTTCACTAGGCTGATTGACTATTTTTGTTACTTGGTGTCATCCTTTCTGATTATGCTGTCCTTGGCAGCAGAAAGGATTCTGTTGTGTTTCTGCCACCACCACTGTCAGTGGTTCTCTGCTTTTCGGAACATCGTCTTCTGAGTCTTAGTATGCTGGCTTCACTCCCATCAGTGATTGCCATGTTGGGCTCCCTCAGCTGTCCAGAGTGCCTCTCTTTTCCTGCACCCACCTGAGTACCTGGCAATTAGTGAGTCAGCACAACATTCTTCCCCTAACTGCTGGCAGAGAATGGAGGAAATGCAGCCTTCAGCAGCAGGAGCAGTGATTTTTTTTTTATCTCTGCCTGGCTTCTAACCAGGTGATCTCATGTATACCAAACCTTGTTGTGGCTGAGAGGTTTCAACATTGGAAAAAACACTTCAAAGCATGCTTGGATTTGGGTTATTTGGGTATTACCTTTGCTAGATCTACTTCATGTCCTGCCCAGCATTAAATCTTGCATTGTTTGTCAGTCCAGGGTGGCGATAAGTCACCTATCTCCTGATCCTTCACAGGAACCCAGTTAATTATTAATAGATTCCTCAGATGCCTATCCCACTTCATGCTGTCAGCAGCATTTTGTCACAGTGCAAAATTTTTTACCTCACATTTTGACTTTAGTTTATTCAAAACAACTCTTGTAGTATTTGCTTTACTTTTAGAAGGTGCTCATGTGATTGGGAGATCGTCAATCATTTCCTTGGTTTGAACACTAGATGCTAGTAGGATATTTCCTTTTCTCCCCCTTTTTTTGACAAGCAAAGATGTCTTCTGGTATCATTGTTCCACAATTGAGATTTATTGGTCCAATGGATGAGGAAATTAGTAAAGGAAGACTCAGAGGAATGAAGATTAAGACATATTCCAAAGGCTCTTTGCTTCTATAAATCTCTTCTTTCATTCTAGAATTGACAGAGTTTTTCTTGATTGAAGTCAGTTTGGGCTGCTGGCAAGAATTGGGGACAATGAATACAACAACAGATGTGATCAAAGGCCATCTCTTTACCTCACTCCTCCAAGCAAATGTTAAGTATGGTAGGTTTCCCTCTTTTTCCCTTATCAACAAGTCATAAAACTCTCTCATGTTAATGTTTCTGCTGTGTTAACAGTTGCATAGTGTTCATATAAATATGCCAATGTATTTAATTTCTCTCAATGAAGTCCATTTTTTGTTATAAAGAACAGCAAATTGAAATATATGTAAATATCAAGAAAATGGATCGCAATCATGTCTGATATCATAAACCTGTAATGTCGGCTATCTGGGAGGCCTAGGCAGGAAGATCCCCAAGTTTAAAGTTATTTTAGTGAAACTATCTTCAGAACACAGAGATGAGGTACAGATCAATGACAGAGCACCCTTATAGCACACAATGAATTTAACTTCCCAAGTAAATCCACAAATCCTTGTCACAGGCCCCTCATGTTCTCAGACTCGGGGAATCATGTCCAGTTAAAGAACATGTATAGGAGGGGAACCTGGGTCTCTAATTCCATATAAATGAAAACAAAATAAAGATGTTCAACACATTGTACAGCTAGCAGTTAATAGGTTCATTCAGACTCAGTCACATCGGGATATCTAAAGTTTGTCTTTCCATGTTTACCTTTATGTGAACATGTTCCCCCCACAACCTGTTACTACCTTTGAGTCTTCTTTTCTTCTATTTTAATACATCTTGCTTGAGACAAATAAAGAATATTATTTCAATGGTAGTTCTTTCTTTCAAAGTGTTCTTTTTCTCAGGAAACCTGAAAGCCTTAAATGTTCATTTTCATGAATATGAAACAAATTGAGAGTCCAATCATAAAGAATCCACCACTTCTGCCGTCCTCAAAAAGACCCTGCTGTTTGTCCACCAACCTTTCAGTACTCATATTGAGCTCAAAGACTCAGAGGCTTTGGTGTGCCTGCAGTAACCCAACCATACAAGTTTCCTCAAATTTCAGGACCACTTTGTTACACAGGTTTAGTATCAGCTCTGGATTCTATTTAAGCGGTGATAGCTTCCCTTCATCTGCACATTGAGACATCTGCACACAGTTGAGGTAATGTGAGAAAGCATGCCTAGTTTAAACATGCCATGCTAGGAAGTCATCCAGGAAGTACTGTTTGACTCTCACACTTAGAAGTGAAGAAGAGCTTGCAAAAATAATCTCCTTAATTTTATAGGATTCAAGTTAAGGATTCCTAAGGCATGAAACCTGCTTTGAAAGTCCAAGTTCATGTTGAATCACGCCAGGAAACCCAGAGCTGTGCTTTATTTGAATTGAAAAATGAAAGTGTTTGCCTGACAATCATTATATTTAGAGTCTATAAAAATGCCTGCCCAAGGAGAGCAGAAACTAGTGCTGCATATGTTCTGCTTCTCAAGATTTTGCAACAACCAATGAAACTAACAGAATAGTTTGATGCACGTCAATTGGGAAAATACCTCTATCTGATTGGCCTGTAGGCAGGTCTGTGGGACATTTTCTTGATAAATGATTGAAGTAGGAAGACCTAGATGACTGTGGATGACACTGTTCCTGGGTCTTGAGTTGTATATGAAAACAGGCAGAAGAAGTTAATAGGCTACTTGCCTCCATAGCATCTGACCCCCAAATTCCTACCTTGAGTTCCTGCCCTGACTTCTCTCAGTGATGGACTGTGATCAGAATTTTAGTCAAATAAACCCTTTCTCCACAAGTTACTCTTGGCCACAGTGTTTCATCACAGAGATAGAAAGCAAATTAAAACCGTTATTATGTAGAAGTTAGGAACACAGCAGGTGGGTATGGGATGGTGGAAGCCTTATAACAAGGAAAGTTGGCCTATGGTTCTCAGTGTCATTCTTTGTTCTCAGCTGCTAGTCTTCAGATGAAGAGAAAGAATAGGTGTGTGTGTGTGTGTGTGTGTGTGTGTGTGTTATGGTGTATGTGTATGTCTGTATGTGTGGAAGGGTTGTGAACACATATGTGTGCATGGGGGGTATTGAGCACCCTTGCATGTTCATAGAGGCTGCACGAGAATGTTGGATACTATGCTATATCACCCTCCACTCTATTGCTATAAAGTCTCTCACTGAACCTGGAGCTAGACTGGCTGGCAGCCAGCATCCTCCTTTCTATTCCCTACATAGCAATGGTGCACACAACCACACCTATCTTAGGATTGATTAATTTCTATGTAGGAAAAATTCTTTTACCTGTTTCTTGCTTTGGTTGTCCTTAAATATACAAAATATAATCACAGTATTGCTCCACCACTGAACTATGATCGTGCTTTCTTCTGTTCCTATGGTAATTTCACTGCATCAACTTTTTGTAGTTCATCAAGCATTTCTTCAATGTCTATAGCACTGCTCTGCTGCCTGCATGAAAAGAGTCTCTACATTCTGTTTCAGCTCCTTGGCCCCACAAGTAGACTTGTGCAAAAGCTTCTATGCCTCCGCTTACTCTCACTTAATCTTTAGTATGTTGCTGGCTTAGGTCCAAACTATCTTAGTTGCACTGCATGTAAATGTCTTGATCTGCTGTTTAAGCAGAAAGACCAACTATGTGTCTAAATGGAGTTTCGAGGGTGAGAGGCCAAGACTGTCCTTCCTGCTGCCTAAAATTTGTCTTTGAAGGTTCATTCCTTTATTCTTTAAGTTAAGGAGGCTCAGTGTAGGGACAGAATGGAAAGAGCCACTGATTTTGAAATCTATTGTGTTCCAAGTATTCTTTCACATAGTCACTTGATGTTATCTTGTTTAATTAATCCATACAAGCTAAGTCTGAAATACTCATAATTACTATTTCACATAAATTATAGATAAAGTAGTTGAAGATTAGAAAGATCTTTGTGTCCTATCTGAAGCTGTCAGGCACAGCTAGTCCACCAATAGCAGGAAAATTGTGGCAGTGGCATGTGATTTTTTAGACTTTGAATTCTTGACACATTGCATTATACCATGGGAGAGCTCTCTAAGCCTTCTTCCCAGTTTGGAAAGAGTACCTCTCAGAAGGAATGGTCACTATCCCAAGAAAGAGAAAGGAATCAGGATGCAAAGCTTTCCAATCATTTATATGCTTATCTGAAGATGTCCTTACAGATGATGGTCTCACAGTTTCTGTTCCTCAGGAGTCAGCGAGAACCAGGCAGAAAGTGTATAGTTCAGGAGACAACCAAATTTGGCTCCACCTCACCATCCCAGAGAAACTACAGACAGAACAGGGCTGTAAATGGAGAGACAGCAGCTCAAGGCAGCACTTCTGCAGCTTCACCTGTCTACATCTTCCTGAGTTGCCCATGTGGGCTGTCATTCTTGGTCTACACTTCAAACTCCATCACTTAAGTCATATTGTGCTAACTTCTCACCAACTATAGGAGTGAATGGTTAGGAGTCCCGAAGATTTTTTTTTAATTTAGGTATTTTTCCTGGATGACTCAGAGACCTTTTTTGCAGAAGTACATTGATATATATATATATATGTATTGCTCATAGTTTGCATAGTACATTCACGTCTTATGCAATAGCACCACCCCCACAGTGCACATATCATGGAACCAGCAGCGACATTTGTATGGCTTTCTTACAAATGTACTACTCAGAGAGGTTTCTGTTTCCAGTCACCCTCCTTGTGCTTACTCCTCAGAGTCACAGAGAAAGTTTTCATTATCCCATAATGAATAGGACATGGCAGAGACCCAGCTTAGAGAGATAATTACAGCTTCTGATTTCAATTACTTCTTCAAAAAGCTGCCCACTGACTTAAGAGCCACCTTACCCCGGTTACCTGCAATGCATAGTTCCTCCTGGCCTTCCTGGTTGTGCTGGCGCAGGGAATAAAATCATTTGCTTTGATGCCTCAAGGTTCTCATTGGCAAATTTGAGCAGCTACACCAGGCCAACTTGGAGTCCATCTTATGACAAACCTGGAAATATGTGGGCTCAAATATCTAAACACTACATTCCGTTCAACAAACTATCCCAGTTCAATTTCTTATGCTTAAGTATAATTTTATCATATAATATAGGAAGGGAAACTAACTTGTGACTCATTAAAAATATATAGGGAAAAAAGTGAACCATCTCATGTTGAGTTGTGACCAGAACAGGATCTTATTAGGTAAAGGTAGAGTGGGCACATGACTGGAATTTTCTCGTTTTTGTAGCACTGTTAGAATCTTAAATTGAAAGAAAAGAGTGAATTGAATTATTCTGTGTCAGAGTGCTTGGCAAGTGAAGGTGCCTGAGGCCTTTAAGTTCTTAAATGTATGCCTGTTCTTGGTATTCTCTTCCTAAGTTGGAAAACTATTGGAATCAAAGTAGTGTTGTAAGTGCACAGAGAGTGTAGAGAGTGGCCTTTAGATAATCAATGACTGCTTAAAAATACCCTTTTCTGCTGAATCATTTGCCAGGGATTGCAGTAGTTGGTGATCAAAGCACTTTCTCCAGAAAGTACTTACAGATATCTCCAGCTACCATTTCTCTCTGGGCTTTGTACACTTGTACTTCCTGGACCCCTCATGGCCCTTTGGTAGACAGGTTATGGATTACACTTATTGGCTATCTCTTTTACCAACAAGGAAGTTCTTTGAGAGTTTATTTTTCCAGTGTATGCTCACTACAGGCATTATATCTCATAATAGCAATCCTTAGAATACTCATTAACAGAATTAATGGATTATTGAGTGGTGTGTGTGTGTGTGTAGAGAGAGAGAGAGAGAAAGAGAGAGAGAGGATACATTTTAATATTTTGATGAATTGACTTGTATGATCTAGGGACTAGCAAGTGAAAAACTCATGAGCAGTTAAGCCAACAAAAAGCACAAATAGAAGTCAATGTTGTAGCCTTGAGACTGTACTATACAGGACAAGCTACCAGATTATAAACTCAAGAGGTTTCTATTTTATAGTCTTAGGACAGAAAACCTTCTCCAATAAACTTCAGGCCCTCAGCCATTTGGGTAAGGCCCACCCACAGTTTTAAGGGTGATCACCTTACTTACGGTTAAGGAGCTGTAAATGTTAATCACATTCACAAAAACCCTTTACAGCACCATCTGG